TTAGGCAAGAGAAGGAAATAAAAAGCATCCAGACTGGAAGAAGTCAGATTAGCCTTGTTTGCAGACAGCATGACCTTTTCCTAGAAAAACCTACACTCCACCAAAACAAACAAACAAACAAACAAAAAACTGTTAGAACTGATACATAAATTCAGTAGAGTTGCAGGATACAAAATCAATATACAAAGATAAGTAGCATGTATATATGCCAACAGCAAACAATCTGAAAAAGAAATCAAGAAAGCAGTCTCCTTTACAGTAGCAACAAAACTGTAAAATACCTAGGAATCAATCTAACCAAAGATGTGAAAGATCTATACAAGGAAAACTGGAACTCTGATGAAAGAAATAGAAGAGGACACAAAAAATGGGAAGACATTGCATGCTCATGGATTGGCAGAATTCATATTATTAAAGTGACAGTGCTGCCCAAAGCAATTTACAGACTCAATGCAATCCTTATCAAAATACCAATGAAATTCTTCACAAAAATAGAAAAAAAAGCTCTAATATGTATATGGAATCAATAAAGATCCTGAATAGCCAAAGCAATCCTCAGCAAAAAGAACAAAGCTGGAGGCAAAAGTAGACAGTCGAGATTACATCTTGCTAAAAGGCTTCTGAAAAGCAAAGGAAACAAAAATATTTGCAAATTATTTATCTGACATGGGATTCATAACCAGAATATATAAGAAGCTCAAATAACTCAATAGCAAAAAATAAATAATCCAATTTTAAAATGAGCAAAGGATCTGAACAGACATGTCTCAAAAGAAGACATACACATGGTCAACAGAAATATGAATAAATGCTCCACATCACTAATCACAGGAGTGCAAGTCAAAACCACAACATGACATCACCTCACTGCAATTAAACTGGCTCATATCAAAAAGACAGGGAGCCCTCATACACTGCTGCTGGGAATGTAAATTAGTACAGCCATTATGAAAACAGTATGGAGGTTCCTCAAAAAACTAAAAATAGAACCACCGTATTATGCAGGAATTCCACTACTGGGTATATCCACAAGATTGAAAATAAATGCATCAAAGAGATATCTGCACTCTTACATTTAGTGTGGCACTATTCACAATAGCCAAGATATGGTGTCAACCTAAGTGCCCATCAGTGGATGAATGGATAGGGAAAACGTGGCATATACACAATGGAATATTACTCAGGTGTAAAAAAGAATGAAGCCCTGTCATTTGCAGCAGTGCGGATGGAGCTAGAAGCCATTATGTGAAATTAAGTAAGGCACAAAAAGACAAATACCACATGTTCTCACTCATATATAGCAGCCGAAACAGTGAATCTCATGAAGACAGAGTGTGGCATGGTGGCTACCAGAAGTCAGGAAAGCGGGGAGCTAGTGTGGATGAAAAGAAAACTAAGTATATAAATGTATTTATTACCCCAGAACTGTGCACTTAAAATTATAAAGATGGTAAATTACTGATGTATATTTTTATCTCAATAAAAAACAATAATTTTGTTGTTGATTGCATTTTGAAGTAACATTTTACCTTTTTTGTTTTTTGAATTTTTAGAGACAGGGTCTTGCTCTGTTGCCCAGGTTGGAAGTGCAGTGACATGATCATAGCTCACTACAGCCTCAATCTCCCAGGCTTAAGCAGTCCTCCCACCCTCCCGCCTTAGCCTTCTGAGTAGCTGGGACTACAGGTGCATGCCACCATGCCCAGCTTGTTTTTTGTTTTTTGTTTGTTTGTTTGTTTTTTACTTTTTAATGTGGCTGCTGGATTTTTCTTTCTTTTCTTTCTTTCTTTTTTTTTTTTTTTTAACTTTTGAGACAGGGTCTTCCTCTGTCACCCAAGCAGTGGCACGATCTCAGCTCACTACAACCTCTGCCTCCCGGGTTCAAGTGATTCTCCTGCCTTAGCCTCCTGAGTAGCTGGGATTACAGGTGCACCCCACCATACCTGGCTAATGAGAATTTTAAATTACATATGTGGTTCCTATTTGTGGTTCCCATTATATTTCTATTGGATAGTAATCTATATGGTCCAGACCCTGCCTCTGTGACTAAAGCGTACACATTATCAGTAAATCTTATGTTTTGTGAAGATGCATGAAAGAACGATGTTTCCAAAGGACTCGTGTATCCTGGTGTTCCTGAGTCCGGAGGCGTAGGAGCCTCCAGAGGTGTCTGGGCCGGCCCCTGGAAGGTTCTGCCCTGGCCTGTTTCTACC